GGTCTGAAAACTTAGGCTGGCACTCTGGAAATCAGTGTAGAGAATTAGAAATTTTTCAAAAAGCTTAAAATAAATCCAATATATGACCCAGTTATACCACTCCTTGGTATATGCCCAAAGGACTTGAGAGTCTACGCCACAGATACTTATTTGCTCAGCAAGCTCTGTACAAAAAACAAAAAAACAAAAACAAAAACAAAAAAAAAACAGGAAATAAAAACAGGCTAAATGCCCTCCAAGTGATGAGCAGATAATGAAAATGTGATACAAATAAAGAAAAATGGAAGTCATGAAATATGTAAGTGGATAAAGCTAGAAAATACTATATTGAGTTAGTTATTCCACTCACCCAGGAAAAGAAACGCCACATGTTGCCTTACACTTGTGGCTCCTGGCTTCATAAGCATATAATCTGTAGTAACAGAAGACATCTAGAAAATGAAAAGTGACCATGGTTGTGGGAGAATTCTATGTGGAATATAAGGAAGCAGGTGCTATGAAGGGAAAAAAATGGGGAAAGGAGGGGCATTAATTGGAGGCAGAGTAATTATAACACGGAAGGGAAGGAGGAGAGGAAAAAGAAAAATCCCTAGGAATATTTGAATTTAATAGGGAAGCATATTACTACATATTTACTTAAAGTTTTAAGTATATGTGTTCTAAATTATGCTACTGGGCATGATAATGATCCCTCAAGAGCTACAGACTATGTGGCCAGAAGCCCAGTATCATGTGTGAGAAAACTGTTTTCCAATTGTTGGTCTGGAGAGTTCAAGGTACTCAAAATAATTCTGGTTATAGCTGTTGCTTTTAGTTGCCTCCCAGAAGATGAATGCAAATCCCTATTGCTGAAGACATTTTGTGCATTGGACACAGGAGTCAGAGGACTCAAGCTATGTCTGATCAAAATGGCTTCCACCTGAGAACTAGCTGGCTTACATACTGCTGGAAGGTGCAACGCAAGCAGCCAAGGGAAGAAAGCAATCAATAGTCCTATCCAGACATTATGCCCATGACCCACAACAATTTTTAGCATAGCAAGATAACACTAGAGGTGAAATAGTGGCACTTATACCTTGGTAGTAACCAACGGGTGTCTAATTGAGTATTAGGTTCACTGAACAGGAAGAAAATCATGCATAGTAATGAAAACTGAGTCAACTACCTATCATGCATCTTAGTGGAGAAAGTACTACTTCCAGTTTCCTAAAGCAATATAATCCTTAACTTCATTTGAAATAAATACTTACCCTTATGCCCACAGATAAGCATAGTTCTCTTCTTATCAAAGAAGCTTCTTTTGCAGCAGATAGAGACCATCACAGAAAGACTTTCAATGTTGGACATACTTTCTGTATCTTCCTCTTGAGATTACAAAGTTGTTGATATGTTTAGAGGTCAGTCTCTGTCCAAAGAGTGATGATGATAAAACAAACAGAGATCGTTACCACAAATTTGAAAAGTAGAATCATGCAGAGGCAAGAGGGGAGGTAAAATCAAATTATGAGAATTCTCTTAGGTAGCCAAGGACAAAGAGTTGTTTTTAAAAGTAGGAGCAACAACCTAAGCTGACAATGACCCTAAGAACTCTGATGTGTTTCCTGTCCCCAGGTACACAGTGAGAGCACACAGGTGTGTGAGATAAAACAGGTGCGGTTCAAAGTCCTCAGAGCTGCAGTTCAGCCTCCGTAAACTGTCACCAATAGGACTATTGGAAAATCACTCATCCACATAAGCCCTGTTCTATCAACAGACTTATATGGTAACAACAATACCATGTCTATTCAGAAGGTTATCATAAAGCCCAATTTAAGAGAGAAAAACTGAAGTATTATGGCACTTAGGAGAGCTGGCATACTTATGACAGGATTTTCCTCCATTCTAGAAATCCAGAAATCATGGATTTATTTTTATCAGACATGAAGATGAAGCAAGCAAATTGTGATGTCCTTGTCACATAGTGTTCAAACTGTTAATAACAAACATTGAGTTAAAAAAATAAACACAAGTGGGACCAAATGACCAAATACAATCAGAAATCAAAGCATGTTAAACTATCTGAAGAAATGTCTTCTGCATCAAGCTCAGAATAAAAGTCAGGCCCAAATTTAAGAGTCACAGAGGTACTTTTGTGAACATACCAGAACCCTAGGAAGTTAGCAAACTTTTCAAACTATACAACTGTGTAAATATAGTTATTTAATTACATATCAAGGAAGAGTTTATTCTACCCCAACTAATCTATAACGAGCTGTGCAGCCTAGTCACCAGAGATGGATATGCTTCCCTATACAGACTGACTTCACATGAATACATTGTCTCTGGGATTTTTTTCTTTTTTCTTATTACAGGGATACTCATGCTGCTGCTGTTGGGAGAAAGGGGCCTCTGTGTCTACCTATAACATGGTAAATGGAGGCTGCCAGTGGATACTCAAGTTCCTGTTCCACCTGGAAAGGACCATATCTGAGTACATGAAAACCCTCTCTCACTAATCCTTAATGGATTTATAAATACGTCATGTACTTCCTATCTCTTCCGTAGAGGAGCATTCATGTCAATATCTAAAGGCACAATGACCTAATTGGGAAGGTGTCATGAACCAAAGTTCAAATAATACTCCCCCATAGGCAGAAGAAACCATCGGCCGCTAAACACGGAACTAGGAAATGTGACAGTTATACATGACAAATTTTAAATTTCCAAACTGCAATGGTTTTAAATATTTTTATCAAATACATATACTTTTAAAAATTATTTTCAATTTTTCCATTTGTTACATACTCTCTTTAAATGTGTAGCTAATAAAGGTCTCAAACTTCCTGTTCTTGGGCAGTAAGGCCAGTGTCCTTTGGCATTCCTCCCTTCATGTACTACATATAACAAGTAAAGAAGAGTTATTCTGCAGAAATTTTCTTAAAATGAAAAGATTTAAAATGACTGAAACAATGTTATCAAGGGAAAAACAATAACACCTGTTATTATTAATAGCTTTACAGAAACTCCCAAATCTGGAAGCCATTTTTAAAGAACATGAAGGCCTAAATTGTCACTACTAAAATAGACTCAGTTTTGAAACATAAAGAAGTTTTCGATTCCTGTTGAACTTTTTTTTATTTTTTTTGAAGGCCGGATGTTCTGTGTCATGTGTCAGTCTAGAAGTCCATGATAGATGATGGCTTCAATACATCAATGACTCTAACCATAGATAGAACTTCAGTATCTGTAGTAAATACACATTCATATTTTTTTATTTACTCACTGATTTTTTTTAATTTGCATTCTTGCAATTTTCAATTTTTCAATATCTCCAGTAGCCCATTATACTTTTATAATGTTGATGATTATTAAATTTAAATAAGATACATTTAAGTGTATTTGAGAAAAAATGATATTAAATAATTAAATGTTGATTAATGTATAAGGTAAATTTTTATTTTACTTTTTGTTCTGTGATATTTTAAAGATCTCTCTACTCTCAGTTAGCCTATTTTTGTTATTGTTGAATATATATATGTGCAGAAAGAGAGAGAAAGAAAAATACATAAATATAATCTGCTGAGATAATTTTGTAATTTGTAGGTATACATATAGTTTGGGGGATGACTGATTTCTATTGGTTAACTGGTTAAAGAGTTCATCCCTAGAAGAGGTTAATTCTCCCTCTCTCAATAGTTACTAGTTGCTTATAATTCTTTGTCCAAGGATGAGACCCTGTAAGATATTTTTTCCATGTTAGCATGTCTATTATATTACCACTGTTCAGGTCCTATATATGTTGAAATTTCTAGGAATGTGTCTCAGACTTTCTGGTATTCTGACTTCGATGATCTTTCTTCCCCTTCTTCTGCAATGTTCTCTGAGCCATAGATGTAGGATCTGGTATATCGTTTGGGGCTGGAATGTGAAAGCATATGCTGTATTTGGTATGAAACTATGCAGTTGCCATGAAATTACTGACAAATCACGGTAACAGAGTGGTTATTTTTCTAACAGCTTATGACCAGGGAGGCACCTGAGGCCATCCACAGGATGCATGCACTGCCAATGGGTATACAAAACCCAAAGAGTCTATTGATGGATACAGACAATACTCTGCTCTTTTGCAAAACATGGAGAAATTAGGCTGGGCTTGATCTATAAAATGCTAAAGTAACTAACTTGAGAGTGGTAAATGGATGACATGACCAGCTACATGTTAACCCAATCACAAAACAAGGTATGATGTGACAATCAGCCAGAGGCACAACATGTATAGTTACAACCAACTACCTTGTGTCATAATTCAACCTTTCTCAGTACAGGGAACCCATATTTCATTCTGTAAGCTGGGCCAAAATTCTGTGACTGGATTGGCCATAGGTCCTGTAGGGAGATTTTTGCTGTTGTTTTGATAAATAGCTGTGATGTGCCTATAACTTTTCTCAAAGTGATTTTGAATCCATTAGTAGCTGTTATCTGCCTAAGTAGCAACGAAAAACTGTGTAGTGGTTGATGGTTGCTGGCCAAGATTCATACTAATTAAAGTGCTGAGAATAAGATGGTTACTGTGTTATGGTGGTCATAAAATAATGTAAACATATGCAACATGGTTCAGTTAATTTGCAAAGAGTTGACAGATGAACAGAAGAGCCTGGGGGAAAGAATGAAGTGTTAGCAAATGGCTGCATTCCACTTGCTGTGACATGAACATCAGACATCAGGAAGTAGATGTGACTACGGTGACCTCTAACCTCATGAAAGCCTAGTCACTGTAAACATATTAGGAAAAAGTATAGTTAGAACTACAGTAATGGTCATGAAGCAGTTAACATTCCCTGAGGAGTCAGGGTCATGAGACTCTCATCCAGGATCCATATCTTTGCTCCTGAAGATCATCTCTGCATAGCTTTAGGGTGGTCTGGTGGTCTATATAGGAGGTGGAAATTTAACTGAGGGAAGGAGTCTAGTGAACCAGCTTTCTGCAGTCAGTGCCCACACTGTGGTGGGATTTTTCAGAGATGCGGCTATCTTTGATTCAACAACACCTCTGTAAGTATTCCCTTACTTATGCTTTTCAAAGCCTATGAATTTCTAATCTTACACCACTTGACATTTCTATAGAGCACTTTCTCTGCTGTCCTGAAGTACTAGCAACATTCTAATCTTTGCTGCATACGGGAACTGAGCAGGATATTTAGAACAGTGGTTCTCAACAAAGCTAACGGTCCTTGTGGCCAATTACAGGACAAGTGTTGAAAGTGTGTTTTCTTGACTGGAGTGAGAAGAAAAGGCGAGTGTGTTACTAACTTCTGTGTGTAGAAACCAGAGGTGTGCTCACACAGCATCCAAGGCACTGGACAGCTCCAGAGCAGGAATGAAAGGCTGTTGAAACTGAGAGCCCTGCTGGAGAGAGACCACTGGATTCACAACTCCTCAGTCACGCAGTTAACCCTTTAAGGTTCCAAGGCACCATGAACTTCCTGACTTGAATAAACTTAACCAAGCAGCCAATATTCTGCTAAGGTATATTATGCCAGCAGATACGTGTCTTATACGGCTTTGAGAATTTAGTCGTGTCTTTGAAGTATGAAATTCCTTTTTATAGTGGCAGTTAGTGTTCCTTCCCTGTTGAAATAACAAACTACTGATCTTTAGGGTTTATGTCCATCAAAAGTATATTGATAATGAAGCCAGCACACATCCTTGTCACAAATTTTAAAGGTGGGTGACATCACAGTGGAGGTCCTAGAACCACTCTTATCATGTCATCTAATGCAAATTGTTGCCTAAATTTCCATAGTGGAAGATGTATGTTTTTTTTCTTCTGAGCCCAGCTCAAATATAACAAGTTGGGCAACAGAAGGCGCTGTGGCTAGATAAGGCTTCGCTACAGAGTGACTCTTGTGACTTCCCATAAGTAGATTGTCTCTGTGATTTCACTCCTTATAGCAGGGGTACTCCTGCTGCTGCTGTTGTCAAGCTTTCTCATGTGGGAGAATGTGGCCTCTGTGCCCAGGTGTATCGTGAAAGATGGAGGCTGCCAGAAAGTCCTCAGCTACATTTTTAACATGACAAGCAATGCATCTGAGGGCATTGACCACCTCTCTTCAGAAGTGTTAAATGAATTTGTAAGTACCTCACTTACTTCTGGCTTCTTCATGAACAGGTCCCTACATCAAAAACTGGGTGCTCTACAGGTTAAATGAGAAGACATCATGAGCCAAGTTTCAAATAATACAGATTCACAGCCACAAGAAAGCATCGACCATTAGATTGGGGGGGGGGGAGGGCTGGCGGGGGGGTAAGTTTATGAAATCACTAAATTTTTGAAAAATGAAATTTATTTTAAAATATTTTGAAAGCAATTTCAAAAGATTTTTCTCTAATGTTTTTTAAATTTCTGCTCTTCACAGAAAGCCCTAAAAAGTGACCTAGAGGGACTCTAAATTTCTGTTCTGGATTGCTGAAGAAAGGATCCATTGTCACTCTTTGCTTAGCACACTGCACATATCCAATAAAGGAGATTCAAACTGCATGAATCCCTTAAAATGAAAAGAAGTAGCAATGCTGAAACAATGTCAGGAAGGGAAAACAACAACAACAAATAACATTATTTTTCAAAACCACTAAATCTGAGAGCCATTGTTTAAAATTTTTTTGAGGACATAAGTTTACAACTTCAAAATGAGAACTAGGTTAGAAACATAAATAGGCTTTGTTTTCCTGATGAATGCACTCAGAAGGCTGGATCTTATCTTCTCTAAGTCAGTCCAGGAGGCAGAAATAGACAAGGGCTTCAGTATCAAAGAATATGAGCACAAGACCGCCATGTGTGCAGCAGACATATATTAATATTGTCCTCTGTGGTAGCTTTTCTTTAGTTCTTCATTCTTGAGTGGCAACCCTTCATCTTAACAGCTCATGAAACACTCATAATTTATCTGATTATTAACTTTAAATAATAAATGTGGTAAATAATGTATACAATATCTAAATATTAATTAGTATATAAATATTAAAGTATCTTTTTCCATTTAATTTTTTTATTGTGTAGTGTTTCCAAAACTATAGTTTGATACTGTTACAATCAAAGCAATTATATTCTTAAATTTTCCTGAATTTAATATATTCAGGTTGTATGATGTAGTGCTAATACAAAGAAAAATATTTTTTCATTGTACCTCTAGTTTTCTTTTTTACAATTTATTTACTTCATATTATGATTATAACCCCCTCACTCATCTCTTCCCAGTCCTACCTTCCCTCTCTCTTTCCCCCATGCCCCTCCCACAGTCGACTGAAAGGGGCTGTCCTTCTCCCCTACTAGCTGACCCTAGCCTATCAAGTCTCATCAGGACTGTGGAATCCTCTTCCTCTGTGGGCTGGCAAGGTCAGGCCACCAGGAGGAAGTGATCAAAAAGCAGACAAACCACGTTCATGTCAGAGAAAACCCCTGCTGCCCTTACAAGGCAACCAACATAAAGACAGAGCAGCCAATGGGCTACATCTGAGCAGGGGTTCTAGCTCTTCTCCATGCATGGTCCTTGGTTGATGCATCAGTCTCTGCAGGCACCCCTGGGCCCAGATTTTTTGGCTTTGTTGGTCTCCTTTTGGAGCACCTGTCCACTCCGGGTTCTTCTATCCTACCCCCCACCCCATTCTTCCATAAGACTCCCTGGGCTCTGCCCAAAGCTTGGCTGTAAGTCTCTGCATTTGCCTTGATCCCCTGCTGAGTGGAATCTTTCAGAAGACAACCATGGTAGGTAGGGTAGGCTCCCATCTTGTTCCCTCTCTTTTGCCACTTTCGATGTCTATCCTGTTTGCCTTCTGAACGAGAATTCAGCATCCTTCCAAGGGTCTCCCTTGTTTTTAGCATTTTTGCATCTGTAGACTTTAGTATGAATACACTCATGGTATATACTCACTTATAAGCAAATATTAACATGTAACATAGGATATCATACTAAAATATAATTTTATAATGTGCAATTAAAGGAAGTTTATCTGTTTACTCCAATGGGAATCAAAACTTTGAAGACATACATGTACTGGGCATTGGACTCTAATTTTAGAGAATGATAATCATTTAAACACTGTTTGTAATTTTGATGGTTTACTGCTTCCTTTTCAAATAGTAACTTTTAGGAAATGAGAAATTAGAAATGTAAAGTTATGAAAAGATGAGAAGCTAAAAGCTCAGATGAGAAAATTAGATTAAATCTTCAATGGCAAAAAGTAAATAGACGATGGGTTTCTTTTTTAATTTCTTAGTATAGAGATTTAATGTTCTCTTGACATCCAACATGGATAGGGGTTTCACAAAGTCCCCACCTCTACAGGAAGAATTATAAGCAATCAATGGTTTCCAATAGATGGAGAACCAGCAATGTTCAGGGAGACGCTCCTTCGAATGTTGTCCAATCCCAAGTGGCTATTCACAAACACAGGCACGTATGAGCAACACTAAATGACTTAGGGGGTTTGTATTCACGCATACACACGCATATTTGTTTGTATGTAACAAAAAACAAAAAGGAGGTTATGAAGTTGAGAGGGAGTGGGACTTTCAGGGAGGAGAGTGGGGGTGGAAATTATATAAATACAGTGCTCATAGGTGAAATTCTCCAAAAATCAATAAAAGAAATAGAAAAATCACTTACTCCGTTCCCAAACCCCAAACTAACTTGTTTTATTGTTGTTATTATTATTGTTTTCAGGATATGCAGTATGATCCACAACAGAAATTCCAGAACAAGCCAGTCATGACCTGCCATACTTCATCCCACTCTATCCCAAGCAGCAAAAAGAAGGCTAAAAGAATGCAGGTAAGTCCTGAAACCAGTTCATATGTAAACACAGTGACCACACCTTCAGGAAAGTGGGGAGAGGATAGGCAACACGAGGAAAGCATACTATACAGTTAATAAAGTGAACATAAAAGAAATTTCAGAGTAATTTTTATGGTTAAATTTACTCTAACAAGCAGGCAAGGAAAGTTGCAATTTTTTACTATTACTAATGCACTTTGAAAGCATTGTATACAATTGATCATAAAATCAACTTTTCTTGACTTGGAAAATGCTTTTTTTTTTTTAATTTCTGTTCTCCTTCTTCTTCGCTCATCCCTAATACAATTTTGCAGGGTCTTTACATGCAGGTCCAGCAAAATACAACCCATGTTGCATGGGTACAAGTATGGCCTATCATAACTGAGTAGGCCATGCTAGTGTGTTTTTACTATAGTCTGCTTATCTGATGATCTACCTATAACCAATCTCAACATGATTTAAAATAACTATCATAATATATGTGCATGTGCGTACATATATTCTGTTCTCCTTGATGATTAACTGAAAGAGAATTATATATATATATATATATATATATATATATATATATATATATGCACAATTGTAAAACATAAGAAAATTGAAGGAGGAAAGTCTGTTGAGAGCCAATCCATGGCTAGACACATCACAAACCATTATATCAATATTGCTTCAATTAATCAACAAAAACTTCACAAGCCATGAAGCCTACACTAGTTATCACATGTAATTCAACCTGCAGTTGTACACTTATTTTAATGTGACGCTCAACTGTTTTTGCTTAGCCTATAGTCCTTCTAAATGTGACAATCAGGATGCTGGCTGCCTGGAAAAAACTTCTGTACCATGTAGAAAACAACATGGCTGATCTTGATGGAACTCCTTATGCTATCATATCAAAAGTTAAACTGATTGATACACGAATCAAAAGACTCACAAAGAATCTTCAGGACATTAAGACTATTCTCAGCCAGGTGAGTTGTTTCTTTAAATGTTACTGTTTTCTTCTTATGAAAGCTACAATGTCTGTAATGAAAACTCAACTTTGGACTAATTCTCTGTCTACCACAGTAAAATTTAGGCAAGTGACTGCACAGTCTTGGCACTAAAGAGCTTGTGGCAACTCAAACATTCTTTTTTCTTTTTTAATTATACTTTATTTACTTTGTATTCCCCCTCTAGTTCCCTCCCTCCTCCAAACATTCTTAAAAGTGCTTCACCCAGCACCCCACAACACAGGGATCTCAAGAAATACTAAATGATTCCTAAGGGTGGCCTGAACAGTGTCTTCCCTGGGCAGCGTTAAAGTGTCCTGGCTGTATCAGCACATCTTATCACAGTCATCCCTAAACTGGAAGCATTTTAACCCACCAGGTGCAATCCTCATCATTTCTGTAGCTTCTCGTCCATGACTCATGATAGTTACTGTTGAAATAAAGGAAAGGAAAATTGTGTAGTGAGAAAACTAATAGAGCACAAATGGCACTTCAGAATAGCACTGAGAACATGAGAAGATCCTCACAAGAGAATTGACTCTCAACCCTCCGTTGTACCTTGCTCAAAACAATGTCTATAGTGAAGCAGCAATTCTGTCTACTCCTACAATAATACATTTCATCTAGGATCAACTATATTACAAAAACTGCATGTGTGGTTCTTCCGTCCAGTTTTAAGATAACTAACAGATTGGTAGAATCCAGGTCCACATATATGAAACAAATAATTTTGCTTAATATTTACATTCATAACATTCCTCAAAATATTATTCAATATTTAAAAGTAGTGAGGACCAAGAGATATTAATAATATAAATAATAACTGGTTGACTATTATTTTGTGAATAGGTTCATCCTGAACTTAAGACAAATGAGGACTATCCTTCATGGTCGGGAGAGCTGTATGTACAGCGAATCCAAGGAAGAACTCAACTTTTTGGTTTGCATAGCTTGTTATTCTGCTTTAACAATGATGCGCAAAAAATTTCTGATTATGTCAATATCCTGAGAGACCAAATTGTGCCTAATAAATAAAAAGCTCTTATCCTTATTGTCTACTTCTGGGATAGTCCATACTGATCTAAACCTTAAAAGATTCTTTAAATTTTATAGTACTTCAGTCTGTGATTGAATGTAAAGGGTCACCTATTTTGTTAATTTTTATTTTTAATTAAAATATAATTACATAATTTCCCCTTGCCCTATACTCCCTCCAAATGAACTCTGTCCCTTCATTATTCTACTCTCTATAAAATGCATTGTTTCTTTTTATTTACTTATTATTTTATATACATATAATCATTATTGCTATATATATGCATGTATAAATGAATACATATATAACTGCAGCCTGTCAAATCCAATTATGCTTGTTTCTATGTGTGTTTTTATGGTTGACCACATAATATTGGATAACCAATTATGAGGCTTATTCCTTGGCAAAACTAATTCTACCCTTCTGTAGTCATTAATTGTTTATAGCTCTTCATCTAGAGGTGAAGCCCTATGTGATTTCTTTCATCCACTCTGGGGTGTCAACTGGTATTAGAATTCTCCAAGTATTGTTTAAGCAGCCACAACGTTGACTTTTCATGAGTATAACATCAATGTCATATATCTAGAAGACATAATCTTACAGCAGACTCCCTGATCCTCTAGCTCTAAACATTCTTTCTACCCTCTTTTCTATGATATACCCTGAGCCTTAATTTTGGGTGCTGTGTTGTAGATATAGATGGATATTGATATGTTGTAGATGGGCATCTCGTGACCAGTTTTTCTCTGCATTTTGTTCATGTGATGCTTTCTGTAATTAGCTACTTCTGCTACAAAATAAACTACTTTAAAGCAGACTACTGCCACACTGGTTTAAAGCATATTGCCACATTGCCTGTTGTGGTTACAAGCATCAGAGCTAGGTAATACTGTTGATTGCTTTCTGCCCTTGGAAGCACCTTCATATTCTATGAAAGCTGGTTCTCAGGCAAGAAACTTTGTATCAGTTTCAGCTCAAATCCTCTCAATCTTGTGTATCTTCAGCAATAGAGACTTAATTCCATTTCTGAAAAACAACAGCATAGCTTATATAAAAGAAATGCACCTCAGCCACAAAGATAGACATTTCCTCAGAGCAAAGGGTTGGAAAAGGTTTTCCAAGCATATGAACCCAAGAAGCAAGCTAGAGTAGCCATTCTAATATCTAACAAAATAGACTTTCAACTGAAATTAATCAAAAGAGGTGAGGAAGGATACTTCATACTCATCACACAAAATTCCACCAAGATGACATCTCAATTCTGAATATATATACCCCAAATACAAGCGCACCCACATTTTTAAAAGAAACATTTAATAAAGCTTAAAGCACACATCAGTACCCACACATTAATAGTGGGAGACTTCAATATCCCACTCTAACTTAAGAGCAGGCCAACAAAACAGAAACTAAACCAAGAAATAATGACACTAACAGATGAATCAAATTGACCTAACAGACATCTACAGAACTTTTCACCCAAACACAAAAGAACATACATTCTTCTCATCACCTCACAGAACCTTTTCCAAAATTGACCTTATAGTGGGTCACAAAGCAAGCCTCAACAGCATGCTAGAAGACTGAAATAATATCTTGTATCATATCAGACCACCATGGACTAAAGATGGAACTCAACGGCAACAGAAATAACAAAAAGCTTACACACACACACACACACACACACACACACACACACACACACACATGAAAATTGAACAACTCTCTACTCGATGACAGCTGGGTCAGGGAAGAAATAAAGAAACTAAAGACTTCTTAAAATTCAATGAAAATTAAAGCACAACATACCCAAACTTATAGGACACTATGAAAGCAGTGCTAAGAGGAAAGTTCATAGCACTAAGTACCTTCATAAAGAGACTGGAGACATCTAATGCAAGCAACTCAATAACACACCTGAAAGCCCTAGATGAAAAAAAGAAACAGACACAGCCAAGAGAAGTAATGACTGGAAATAATCAAACTCAGGGCTGAAATCAATAAATTAAAAACAAAGAGAGCAATTCAGAGAATCAATGAAACCAAGAGCTGGTTCTTTGAGAAAATCAACAAGATAAACAATCCTTTATCCAAACTAACTAAAAGGCTGAGACACTATCAGAATCAACAAAATTAAAAATGAAAAGGTGGACATAACAGACACTGAGGAAATCCAAAGAATCATTAGGTCTTACTTCAAAAACTTATATGCCACAAAATTTGAAAATCTAAATGAAATGGAGAATTTTCATTGATAGATTCCACTTACTAAAGTAGAGTCAAGATCAGGTAAACAAATTAAATAATCCTATATCCCCTAAGGAAGTAGAAGCAGTCATCAAGAAGCATGCTCCCCCCCCCCCCAAAAAAAAAAAAAGCCCAGGGCCAGCTGGTTTCAGTACAGAATTCTATCAGAACTTCAAAGAAGAGCTAGTACCAATACTCTTCAAACTATTCCACAAAATAGAAACATTACCAAACTCACTCTATGACCACAGTAACCTTCATACCTAAACCACACAAAGACCCAACAAAGAAAGAGAATTTCAGACCATTTTTATGACCATCGATGCAAAATACTTAATAAAATACTCACAACCCAAATCTAAAAACACATCAAAAATATAATCCACCATGACCAAGTAGGTCTCATCCTAGGCATGTAGGGGTGGTTCAATATATGAAAATCCATCAGTGTAATCCACCATATAAACAAACTGAAAGAAAAAAAAAAACACATGATCTCTCCTTGGATGCTGAAAAATCATTTGACAAAATCCAACACCCATTCATGTTAAAAGTCACGAAGAGATCAGGGACACAAGGCACATAACTAAACACAGTAAAGGCGATATACAGCAAGCCTTCTCAGAAAATTGGGAACAGCTCTACCTCAAGACCCAGGTATATCACTCCTGGGCATATACCCAAGAGATGATCCACTTGTACAACAAGGACATTTGCTCAACTATGTTCATAGCAACTTTATTCTTAATAGTCAGAAACTGGAAACAATACAGATGCCCTTCAACTGAACAATGGATAAAGAATCTGTGGTACATTTATACAATGGAATACTATTCAGCTATTAAAAACAAAGACATCATGAAAATTGTGGGAAAATGGATGGATCTGGAAAAGATCATCCTGAGTGAGGTAACCCAGACCCAGAAAGGCATGCATGGTATATACTCATTTATAAGTGGATATTAGCCATGTAATACAGGAAAACCATACTACAATCCACAGACCTAAAGGAGCTAAGTAGCAAGGAAGAATTTGAGAGGATGCTTAATTCTCATTCAGAAAAGCACATAGAATAGATACTAGAGGTGGTTAAGAGAGGAAGCAGAAAGGGAGCCTACTACAGATGCCCTCTGAAAGAATCCACCCAGCAGGGGATGGAAGCAGATGCCAAGATATCCCTTGGTCAAGCTGGAGGCCTGTGACAGGGTATACTCCTGGGAGGATATGTGTGTGACTCTAGCTGAGACTCCCAACTGGAGGGGGGGGGAGCAGGTGGCCATGAAAACTGAAGTGACCACCTCCTCACCAGGTAGGACTAGTGGGAGGAGGGGAACAACTACCCACCGACAAAACCTGTGATCCAAATTTACCTTGCCTACGAGAAGTGCAGGGATAAAGAGTGAACAAAGATTTAGGAAATGTTCAACCGATAACGGGCCCAACCTGAGACCCACCCCATGGTAGAAAGCCAGTCCCTGACAGTAATAGTGATACTCTGCTGTGCTTGCAGACAGAAGCCTAACTTGACTGTAGTCTGGGAGGCTCCAGCCAGCACTGGACTGAGACATGTAGTCAATAATGTGGTGGAACCCTTGGGGTCCTGTAGAAAGATAGAAGGACCTGGAAGGGACATAAACCTCACAAGAAGACCAATAGGGACAACTAACCCAATCTCATGGGGACTTTCAGAGACTGAGACATCAACTAAGGAGCATGCATGATCTTGACCAAAGCCCCCTGCATACATGTAGCTGATGAGCTGCTTGGTCTTCATATGGGGTGCCTGGCAAGTGGAGGAGGCAGGTGGGATGCTGTTTCTAACATGGACTTCATTGCCTGATTTTGGATAACTTCCCCATGTCTGGGCTGCCTTACCTGGCCTCAGGGGATGAAGATATGCTCAGTCATAATGTGACTTGATATGCTATGGAAGGTTGATATGGGGGAGGGGTGGAGGAGGGCTCCCCTTTTCTGGGGGGAAAGGAAAAGGGATGTGGGAAGGGGGAAGATGAGGAAAGGAGAAGGAGGAACTGGGAGGAGAGGAGGGAAGAGGGAAGGGGAACCCTTGGAATGTAAAATAAATTAAATAAATAAATAAATAAATAAATAAATAAATAAATAAATAAATAAATAGATAGATAGATAGATAGATAAATAAATAAATAATGATAGCTAGAAATTAGAAACAGCCTAGATGTCTATCAACCAATAAATGGATAATAAAAATGTGTTGCACTTACACAATGGACTATTCAGCAGTTATAAAAATAAACAAACCAAGATTATAAAATTTACAGTTAAATGTATAGAGCTAAAAACAATCATCCAGAAAGTTAAATATTACATACTTCTTCTTAAATGTGGATGTTCATTTTTTAAGCTGTAGACATGTGAGCTTCAATCCAAATAACCACAAAGTTAAGCTAGCTGGTAAAGAACTAGGGCGAGAGGTGGTTTTTCTTTTTTTTTTTTTTAACATTTTTTTATTTTTTATTAATTACACTTTATTCATTTTGTATCCCCCCATAAGCTCCTCCCTCCTCCCCTGCCAATCCCACCCTCCCTCCGGTTTCTGCATGCTTGCCCCTCCTCAAGTCCACTGATAGGGGAGGTTCTCCTCTCCTTTCTGATCTTAGTTTATCAGTTCTCGTCAAAAGTGGCTGCATTGTCATCTTCTGTGGCCTGGTAGGGCTCTCCCCCCTCAGGGGGAGGTGATCAAAGAGCAGGCCAATCAGATTATGTCAGAGACAGT